CTCCATGTTGGACTTTTCACTTTAGAAAGTTCCTGCGAGAGTCATCAGGACTCCTTACGATTCCTGCTGGAGTTTTTCATAAACTTGGGACTCCCGTTGGAGTTTTGCCGGGAGTCTCGACTAGGGTGTTTCATAAAAATTCTCAAGTGCTCAACTTAACTAAGTCTAGACTACTTACGTCAGACTTAAATCTTCCTTTTGTACACTTACATGTTAATTTTATACACGTAAGTCTGACTTAAGTCTAGATTTAGTTAAGTCGAGCACTTACGAACTTTTATGAAATACTCTTCAGATTCCCCAAGGTCAGGTTCAGGTTCCCCAAAGGTCTAAAAATATTTCCTAATATAATTCAAAGCAATGCCCACGTCTCCCTTTGATCGGTGTCCGCAGCTAGGATAGGTGAGAATTGTTCTGAACTTCTCTCATTCTACAGAAAAAAAACTCGCCGTAATATGAAGCTAAAACGTTGTCTGGACAGCCCCTGAATATTCCAAAAGGGGGCTGGAAGTATTTCTGTTCGATTTGTTGTGATAGATTATCTATACTTTGTAAAAATTTCATGATTCGTAGACAACGTTTTTGGTTATCAAATTTAAGCTGGTTTCTGGCGACATCTATCCCCCAACTACAGAAACGGTTTGCTTAGCTTTTTTTGTCTTGGAATCAGTAAATATTTCAGCGAATTCTTGAATATTTTCTCTCTCGCGGTTAAAAAACAGTTTTTGTTTTTTTCTCTCTTGTGATTGGTTGGTCTGTATAATTTTGACAGCCGGTTTTCCGTATTTTGTGCACAGACACGCACATGTGCGGTGTCTGTCTATTTACTGTGCATAGTAGATAGACCGACAACCACTTTACTTACCTAGATTAAAGTCAAGAAAACTACCATTAAAGTTTAAGGTGAAAAAGTCGAAATTAAAATGCAGGTGACATTTTCTACTACGATCATTAGTGGCGTCATTTTTATTATAGCTTATACTTGAACAAAAGTTGAAACAGCTAGTTCTTCAACCATTTACTATTCGTTGAATGATACAGCTAATAAATTATACCAAGAGGTTCCGAGCAGTGCCGATATATATATCTTCTGAAAAAGTGCTGCACCGGAATTTATTTATTGAGTAATTAGTTTTTTGTTATCGTGCTTTCGGTAATTTTGTATTAATTAGAGTATGGAACTGACTGATATCACTATCACATTGCCATGCCAAAACCATGCAGCACCGTTCTTATAAATAAGAAAGGTAAAGTTAGAAAGACATTCGAAATATTAAAAGTATACTGTGATGTTAATACAGATAGAAATTGACAAAACAAAATGATGATTGAAAACAAAACTTTGGTACTGAGGCCCATCGATACGACTGGAACTTATTGTATGGCACTGGTGCTCACCCGTGCTAGTAAAATATTTTTATAGGACAAAAGAAAAACATTCGACTGAGTATTTCTCATTTTCTCAGCTTTTCCAGATTAGTATTACCAATAGTCAAGTTGTTTTTTCGATCCACTAAAAAGACTTTTTCAGCACTGATTGTGCATCGGAAAGAATGTCAAAATCTCGCACCCGTGTGCATCGGTGCTCACAAAAACGTTATTCGGTATCGGTGCATAGTCAGTGCCGACAAAAATTTTTTTGCAGGGTATCGTAGTTTGTTTTTTACTACTTCTGGTTCTAACCTTCGTTGTCTTCTTTATTTTGTTCTTTTTTATTACTCTTTTGATGTTGTCTGGCTTGAGTCATTGTTATTACAGGTCGGTGACCTTTGATGACTCTCACTTTTCATGAAAAAAGCAGCCTTAATCTTAGTATGTTTATAATTCAGTAAAGATGATATATGCATGTGCCAGCAGGAAAGCGTGTAACTCGGAAAGATTTTCTAGAAAAAAATGGGAAGAGTTCTCTGCTAGTCCTTCTTTTTGACCGTACAGTTGAAAAACAATCCTAAATCCTTCGGAAAACTCTTCTAAGACAGACATTATCCAAAAACTCGAGAAATTGCAATGTATCATCAACCACACAAACCAGGATCGAAGCTTTATGTGTGTAGCGCCGGAGAACGTAATATGAACGGCTCTCAAAACGCTTAGCTTTTTAAGCTAAAGTTAATGAAAACAGCCCCAGACATTTGAAAAAAGTCTGCTTTCTACAAATATTTACGTATTTCACTGCTCTGTAATAAGCAAGTCAATTAATATAATGTCGAAGTTTCCTGAATTATATCGTTTTATTCTTTTGCATTTGTGCGCTTTAAGTTTCATGTCTTTAACTGAATTGTTCAGCAGAAGCACACTAGTAGAGCGAAAACGGTATATTTGTTCTTAACTTATCGAAAAACCAAATTCTTTTGACCTGTTTTTGATTGGTCAATTCGGTATGGTCTCTTGAAGGTTATTTTAACACAAATTTTTATGTTAGCGTGTTGTCATTGTGTTAGTGTATCTTGTATTTGACCCGACTAAAAGAAGTGAAGCATATAAAAAAGGTAAACATTATTTACATAAGAAATGCATGATATGAGTGATCAATGTAAGTAATTGTATTATACTAAAAAAAATTTCTCATCTCTTTAGCAATGTTGTAGTGCGTTGTCTCATTATCGACCCACGTAGTAGTAGTATTTATTCACATTTACGTAGCCGAACAAAAATGTGCATGCTGATTTCGGTATTATTTGGACTTTATGGAATTTCTATTTGTGATGAATGTTATAAATATTAGATGAAACTGAAAACTAAAAGAAATATATTGCTTTCACGCTTTACTGTGTTATTTATTAGTGAGGTTAATATCTCCTTTTTTATTAATTTTCCAGAAAATGAGGTTATGTTCAATCTCTGTTTTGCATCTGTTTCTATACGTTTACCATCAATCTCTTAGTGTCAGAACTCTCTAGAGCAAGTTTTCTAATTATTTTTGAACAGAGCTTTGTTCTTCTGCAAAATATGCTCTCGAATGTGTTTTTTTTTATTTATTTTTTTATTTTGGAATGATATTGGTGAGTGGTTCGGGATGATGATGTCAAAATGGAAACCATTGTTAACAGAAAGCAACTTTTCATCAGTTGTTTAACTTTTATTTTCAGAAAATTAAAAATAGCAATAACAAAAAAAACAAATGCATACATCTACATCACCTGCCCATTTATCTCGCTCAGATAGTAATACGTTGCCGATATCATCAATCAAAACTGAATCTTCTCGAAGAAAAAAGCATCTTAATTTTATACCATGGGAACCATCACGCGCTGCCGTATCTCGAGCATATGTTATTGATGACATAACAAATAAGTCCTCTTCATTTCCAGCGCAAACATTATCTTCACAATTATATCGTTACCAAGTACCACGGCCAATTAATGATGTTCCATTCGAACCAAACGTTGATGATATTAACAAGGTAAAATCAAGTGAAGAATCAGATATAAAATCAATAATTACAGTGGAGAATGATCAATATAAGAAAAGACAGTCGTTTATCAAGACAAAACCAACTGCCACTGTAGAACCATTTAAAGCATCAATTGCTGTTGATGAAATTGTTTATGGTGTAAGGTAATTGTATAGAACATTGATTATGCTATGTATTTTCCTTTTGATCAACGTCAGCACCTCTTTTTTATAGGCCATCAAGTCCCATCATTCAAGAAACATCGTCTGTTGATCATCATAATATAAATGAACTTCGAAATGAACTTGATCGTACGCAAGACGAAAATGGTGGTTTGAAAGAACAACTAGATTTACAAACACAGGTATGAGTAACAAAAACGAACGATATTAATTTATTTCTCTTTTATAATTTATTTAAGGTGAACTGTGAATTAAAAAAGTTACTTGTTGCTTCAGTGGGAAATGATTTTCAGTATAAATTGGAACGATTATTGAGGTAGGTAAGTGTTTTGTGATATGTTAAATATATTGTGCATGAAAAATTTTAAGTCGTTCTTTTTTTTTAATTTATTAGAGATAAATCACGGTATGAAATTGAAATACAAACTTTAACGCAGAAAATAAATAATCTGTTAGAAGACATTGAAAAATTAATGATACAATGTGACTTATGGAAAACAAAAGCAGCTGCTAGCAGGTACATGTCTATTTTATCAACGAAATAGGCTTTATGTTTTATTGTATATTTCTAGAGTATTGTTTGATGAAATATCAATGCACAAAGCAGTGTTGAACGTTCAATATCGCGACTGTTATTCGACAATTCAAAACTTATTAGGTGAACGTGTGCAAATTGCCAAAGAACTGATTGCAACGCACAGGTAAGGAGTTAAAGTTCATCTCAAATATTTTACAACTTGATTTTAGTTTATCTTTGAAACAGAGTACATTATAATAATTGCTACATACACGTAAATGAAATATTCTTCATTTTCAGATTATCTGTGTATTATTCAGAATTTGTTTGTTTCAATTTTTAGCTCATTATCTGCATTAAATGAAATGGCATTGAACAATAATAAAAAACGCTTCCAAAACTCACCAAAATTTGATTTAATTCAATTATCATCCTATCTAAAAACATTAGGCTCTTCATTATTCATCTACTTAAAACAAACTATCTACTATCAACATACACAACAACAGAATAGTTCAACTAATGTGCCTTTTCCACATCACGGTATACAACTTCAGTTAACCGAAGGTGAAACAAGAGCTCTTGAAGTATGTAGAATGATAATAAATTTTTATATACTCATGAAAATCATTGTTTGTTTTTCTAGATGCTACAAAGTCATTCTTTGACAACAAACACTTATGCAGCAACGTCTCCTTCTCCTCCAACAATATCAATTCCAGTCGATGATTCAGATTCTACTGATATTGATACATTACAAACAATGGTTAATCGTTTGAAATTTAATAAAAAGAAATCTCATGAACGTTTTCATCCAACTACAAAATATGAAAATTTGACATTAAACTGTTGTCGTCAGTGTACTGGCGAAATTTATGTAATATAGTCTAATGTTCGTTTACTCATTGTTTTGACTTATTTCAATATTTTTGGAAAACTTATGTCAAATAATTTACGTACATATTCGTAAATACGTACGGTCTTTTAATTAGGGTCTTTTCACATATATTTTTACTGATATTAAAAATTAGATCAATTTTTGTGTATTTACAGAATTTATTTTGAAGTATATTTCATGTGCTTATTATTGTTAAAGTTTGATCTGTCTTATTCTGGTGAAAATTGCAGAGTAATACTAAGAACAAAAAAGTATTTCGATTGCTTGTGATAGTCGCATAATACATAAGTTTCAACGCAGATTTTAACGGGTGCGCTAGAATAAATGGCGGTCTCAGTAATTTGACCATAACTTGGTTTGGATTTGTTTCCGACACTCGATGGTTTTTTTAAACGATATGTTGCGAAATACTCTACAAAATCATACCTAAACTATAATTTCAGAACTTCAATCAAGAAACCTAAGCCAATTAGATGAAAGTCGAAAAAACTGAAAACTTTCTAAACTCAAAAATGATTTCTTGTATTAACGTTTTGAAAGTAAGAAAAACTGAATTAGCCATTTTGTAGCCTTGACTTCGCTCTATCTTTTAGCTACACTTCAAATTTTTTCATATCAAAAGCCACAATGAAAAATAGTTTTTCTATCGGTTGTCATGCATTTTTTCGTTTATTTTTTAAATTTTGCGTATAGTAGTGCTTTTAGTAAAAGTCCCATAACTCCATCAAAGTAAAAGCTTTTTCGGTCGGGTTGCTTTTTTTTATCAGAAATGATTGCTCTTCTCTATCTAACTGCAGAATCAAACTTCAATCGTCTTTTCCTTTTTGAGCACATTGTTGGAAATGAGGAGATTGTTCACGTTTGATGTATTTTTGTAACCTCGTTCTCGAGCACACCATCTGCTCTAAAAAAGTTTTTTTATAGACTACGAGAAAGAGCACATTTGAAAGTACCAAACATAAACTGAGTTCTCACTTTTGCTACACTTTTCGCATCGTCATACGGAATATCAATTATACTCATCAATCTTATTTTAGATTAGCATTAATTGAGTATATAATTCATTTTTACATCATTTGTAGTTTGAGCTCTATCCTTTCCCCCTGGAAAAATATTTTTACCGACCCTGTACAGGTTTATTTATGACAAATGGTATAAAAATTGGTGTTTTTTCCATTATTCATTGTCCAATCACTAATGAAAAATGTTATATTTAAATTTTAGCACATAGGCGTATAATAGACTTTTGACCAACTGCGTTTTACTAAAATTCAGACCAAAAATCTTGTCAGGGCAGCCCCTTATGGGGCTGGCTAAAATGGTGAAACTCCTCAAAAGTTGTTGAATAATTTAAGACGATGCGATCCATAACTTCATCAAAACCAAAACTTTTTCGATCGAGTTTGTTTTGTTTTGATCACAAATGATTGCTTTTCCAGTACTAACTGCAAAATCAAAATTTGATAATATTTTCAATTTCCTACTTGGGTACATTGTTGAAAACGGACAGAAATTTTTGGAACTTTGTTCTTCAGCACACGATCTGCTCTAAAAAAAATTTTATACACCATGAGAAAGAGCACATTCAAAAGTACAAACAGAACTGAGTGTTCACTTTTGCTACACTTTTTACGGAAATGATAGCAGAAGAAAAAAGTTCAAGTCGAAAAAAATACCAAAAATACAAAGTTTTCAGTGTTTCCGCCTTTCGTATAATTTATCTCGTTTTCTTGATTGAAGTTCTAAAACTAAAGTTTAAGTATGGTTTTGAAGAGTATTCCGTGACGCATCTTTTAAAAAAACCCACTAACCGTGAGATCCTAAAGGAAGAATTTTCATAATTCTACAGCTAATAATCGTCTTACGGAATAGTAATTATACTCATCAATCTCGTTTTAGATGAGCATTAATTTGGTATATAATTTATTTTTACATCATTTATAGTTTGAGCTCTATCCTTTCCCCTTGGAAAAACGTTTTTACCAACCCTGTACAATTAAACAGCTTTATTCAAATGTTTTTTTCCAATTGTACAAGAAAGAGCACACTTGAACTCAAATTTTTCTCAGAATAAATTAAAGAAGTTTGCCTTGTTGGTGTTTAGTGAAAGTTTTATCAACCTTTTAATAGATTTTTTTGTCGAATCTTTTGGAAAAAACTTAAACTCAAAAAGATCTATAAGAGAGGAGAAAACTTGAAAAATACTGATACGGCCATTTCTTCTAAGATACCCGTTTGTAATGTTTTGTTTATGTTGAATCAAGAATTTAAGTGAGACATCTTTATCTCAGATTGATATGAAATACATCTTCTATTAGATATTTCATACACGATAATAAAGAAAAATAAGAGTACAAACATTCATTATTCGTTATGTGTCATATTTAACATTTTAAACCTCCATTTTAACGGAAATGAATGTTGATCAATTTGTGGTGTTGATATTTTTTCGGTAGAAAGTAATAAATCATGATCATCATCTGAATGACTATGCACTTCACTTGATTCATTCGTACAATTTGATGGTGGTGGTGAACGATAATTATAAGATGTCGAAGATTCATTTTCTAATATATTTAATATTTGTGGCATTTTTTGTTCTTCTTCTACATTATCGGTAATTCCAAATTTTTTCGTTAACATATCTAATTTTGCTTTTAATAATTGATTTTCATTATTCAATTCTAATAACTTTGTTTCTAATACTAAATCATTTACGCGACGTTTTTCACGTGATTTTTTTGCTGACATATTATTTTTTAGACGTTGACTCCAATAATTAGTATCTTTTTTTTCATTTGGTATAAAATCACGTTTTCGTCTCGATCGTACAATTAACCGTAATTGTTCATCGGCTGTTTTTGGACTATGAGGACGACTTTTTGATTCATTACTCGATGGACTGTGACTTCTGTCAGTGGTACTAAATGACATGGACGATGTTGAAGATGTTGAATAAGATGTATCATGACAAGGATTCACCATAGAAGAGTGCGATTCTATTTCATTAGATGATTGTGATGGATTATGATGATGCACATCTGTTGATTGTAAATGTCGAAGAAATTTTGATTGTGCAAGATGATCAATTGTAAGTTGATCAGCTGACATGTACTTCTAAATAACTGTGTTCAGTTTTTGATTAACCTTAAATATCCAAAATTCTTATTAGTTCACTTGATTTTTACAGTTCTAAACAAAATAACGATTTGTTTTTGACGATTTTCTAGTCGATCGTAATAATCAAAACAAATCCGAAAAGAGATTTCAATAGCTGAAAGACTTTTCAATTAAGAACGATTTGTGTGGGCTTGTCCACGCAACCTAGCCAAAAAAAGTCAGTCCGTTACGTTTTGAAATAATTATAGCTCCACAAGGAAATAATGTAATAGTCTGGGCAATGCCTTATTTTGTAGAGTAAATTGTCTTCTTTGGTATGACAATCAAACGAACTCTCATGAACATTTATTTCAAAAGTTATAAATCAGTAAGTGAATGACCCAAAAGTCACTTTTTACCTGATTTCTGGTAGCTTATCTCTATTTACAGTAGCGTCTCTAAGACTTCGTCTGATTGTCGTATCAAAGAAGACAATTTACTCTGCAAAATATGGCATTGCCCAGACTATTACGTTATTTCGTTGCGGAGCTATAATTATTTCAAAACGTAATAGACTGACCAAAAACTCGACTTTTACGTGGACAAGTCGGTGTGCAGGTTCCATTAAAATTATCTAGTGATATGGGTCTTCAGACAACCAAGTCTCTCGGTTCAATCAGAAACGTTTTGTACTACACAACAATGTAGAACAAGCTTTTCTGAAAAAAATGAGGCGTCTCCAAGCTCTCCACCACACTCTTATGATAAACTGTATTCATTTAACGATAGGTCTCACGCCGTTAAAACTAGAAAAAGCAACAAGAAACCAACGGACAATGCGCTTGTGACTTTTCGTTAAATGAATGCAGTTTATCATAAGAGCGTGATAGAGAGCTTGGAGACGTCTCATTTTGTTTAGTAAAGCTTGTTCTACATTGTTGTGTAGTACAAAACGTTTCTGATTGAATCGAAGGACTTGGTTGTCTGAAGACTCATATCACAAGATAATTTTAATGAAATTTGCACACACATCGTTCCTAATTGAAAATTCTTTCAGCTATTGAAATCACTTTTCGAATTTGTTCTGACTATTACGATCAACTAAAAAATCGTTAAAAAACGTTGTTTCTATAATTTTGCGTTGGGTTGTATGTATAGAACTAGACAGACTTACCACGGTTAGCTAAGTTTTCTTTTGCTGTTGTTCAACAATTAAACGAGGCAAACATTTTTAATTTGTTAATAATCATTTGAAATTGAGCCTCTCTTGTATGTTCCTAGTACTATTTCTTGCATTGCAATTCTGTTGTCCAACTATCATTTGATTATTGGTAAAATTGTGTTGTTTTTTGTTTCATCTTGGAGGTGGCAAGAGAAAGAGAGAGAAGAGAGACCTTGTCTCGTCTAGTTTAATATGTCTGGCTTTTTTCTTTTCTTTTTGTTCAATAGTGTACAAAAAAATGAACGTTCTTTCGACCGATAATAGAACGGGTCATAGTGTTCATATATGTACCATATAGTTATTAATCAAATAGATTTAATCAGACAACATATATATAGATATATGTATGAGAAATGGTGATATACAATTTTTACTCTGAGCACAGAACGAGCAAGAAAGAAAAAGAAATTTTCCATTTTGATAGACTGTACATAAACATAGACACTCGTTACATAATGATGATTAAAAGCTCTTAACCCAATTGTGTCTCTTTCTCTCTGTATATATACGTATATATCGGTCACTATAGAAAGGAAACGTAAAAGTCAGAATAAAAATCAGTTAAAAATTAATAAATGGAAGTCGTTATAAATTATTGAACAAACATCATGATCGATTTTAAACATTGTGCGTGTCTGGTGCATGCTAATGAATAAAAGTTAGCCATACATATATAATAAAACACTTCTTAGCAATTATATTACTCGAATCAGTTAATTGGATAAACACTGTTGATCTCAGCGGGCGATAAGTAAAAATTCTATTTGAGGGAGAGCAATGGACTTGATTTAGTACATTAATCTTGAATTTAGTTGGAAATTCTTTTGATATGTTAAGAGTGCGATTGCAAAAAAGGAACTATCGCAAATTTCCTTCTGTCCTGAAAACGTATTTGATTAAATCTCTCGAAGATATTTTTTAAATTTCACAATTGAAACTTAACAACAGCAAGAATTTATCGTTATTATATATGTTTCAAAGCAAGGTATTATTTCAATTATTTACTATACACCTGAATTGAACTTACCTATTTCTAGTAGAACAACTTATAACGAGTAGATCTTTTAATTGTGAATCTAATGAATTCGTTATAAGAATATAATATCAGTTGGCGTAGCTTTTGTTCGAGAATACAGAACTATATCTTGATTTGTGTTTAAATAACAGTAATAGTAAATAATTATTACCAGTTTCAAAGTGCAGTACTCGTGGATTAGTTTCAGATAAATTTTAAAGGGAAGGAGGTAGAGGCTTGCGGAGTTCACTGTTCAATAGAGGATAGTTGGAGGCATCAATCTATGGAAAAATAAAAATAAAACTACCATTTGTAGGTGAAATATCTCATCAATGCCTTTTAGGTAACATTCCCTCTACTAAAAACGTTTTGGATTTTGATGGTGGTAACGTGAGTTCGAAACATTGAACTACACTCTACAAAACTATACCAGTCCCAAGTCTCCATCTATTATCATTAAAGCACTAAAGATGTCCATGGGGACCTACCTGTCTTAGTCTGGTTATCTTGGATAACCCTAAAAACAACTTCAGACATAAGCTTTCGTCAATGCTGAGTCTCGTGGTCATGTTTTATTTTAGAAGAAAATTCAAGACCCTAGTGGAAATCTATAGTAGATGAAACAATCTATTTTTGGCTATTTTCATTGGAAATTAACAAATGTATAACTCCGTCAAAACCGATCTAAACTGTTACAGAATTCTAACATATACTTCATTTTGTCTGCTGAACCTAGTCCTACAATTAACATTTTAAAAAATTCTCTTATACAAAGATTTCTAGAAAATCTTCTCAAACATCAAGGACTTTTTATTGACTCCTAAACCTTTTGTTAAAATCAGGAATAACTGCCTAAAGAATGGTAGATGGAGACTTGAGACTGGTGTAGTTTTGTAGAGCGAAGTTCGATGTTTCGAACTCACGTTACGGCCTTCAGAATCCAAAACGTTTTTAGTGGAGAGGATCTTATCTAAACGGCATTGATGAGGTACTCCACCTGTAAATGGTAGTTTTATTTTTATTTTTCCATAGATTGATGCCTCCAACTATCCTCTATTGAACAGTGAAACCCACAAGCTTCTAGCTCCTTTCCTTCAAAAGTTATTTTAAAAAATCCACGGGCGCTACAATTTAAAACGGATAATAGTGAGTAATAAATAGAATATCTCTAACTTGTGCAGCAAACCCGTTTAAGATAAATCTCTAACATAAAAAGTTCGAGAATTTCGAACGTTTTTGCTAGCCATTTGCACATGGTTTATGTTGTTGAGTTAAGAAAATCTTTCTAGAAGATCCCGAGAGAAAAACAAATATTGTACTCACATTATGAAAAATAAAATGTTCATTCTCTATTGTACCACATCAAATTCAAAATTTTGATTTTTATTCATTTTTATCTGATTTTTCAAGTAAACGGCTAAACATTAATTCAATTTTATGCCATTATTTAGATAAATTTGAATTTTTAGTGACTTATCAAACGTGTATTTGATCGTCGAGCTGAAATTGGAGATTTTATTCGGGTCTATACACCGATATTGAAAACAATTTGATGATGTAAACAACCTTATACGAATAAAAAGATAGATTTTTCAAAAAAAACCCATTGGCTCCTAAATTGAGTTGTGTTATTTACAGACACATGAGAAAAAGTCATTGACGGGAAATATCAAAATGATTTGAGTAAGTCTATTCATGATATTATGTTTTTCATCAAATTCTCGTTTTTTACTTTAGATGCGTTATAAACCAAAACGAAGTTATCGGTATTTGAAAACGAAAAAAAGAAATACACCCGTGATGAACGAAAGAGACGTGTTCATTCAACACTACTTGAATTCGAAATGTATTAGCTATTTCTGACAGACAATCTGATATTAGCAGCATCCACAATAAATGATAATCAACAGGTATAAACACTTATATTTTTCTCGTGCTACTTCTAAAATATTCTTGTTCAAAACGAGACATAAAGTACAGTTGATGGTATGATGAAAAATACGACCAGTGAGCAAGTAAATAACTCTTTCGATTTCTTTGTATTATTTACTTTTTTTTTTGGTTTAAGACTATAAAAAATGACTATTCAAAAAACACTTGTTAAAGATTAGGAAGATAATTTAACACGTTTAAGAGAAGAATATGTAGGAAAAGTATGTGAATTTATAATAGTGTTTCAGATGATCATATAAAATAGATATTGTTTTGTAGGAAGCGGCTCTGATTTGAGAAGTGTCATCATCTGAAATAAGACAATAACAATTGTTGCTACGTACATCAATAAATCAGTTGAAGAAATAGAGTGAAACGATCAGCAGTTTCAAAGTACAGTTGAACGAAATACAAAGAAAAAAAAGAACCGTAAGCGAAGCAAAAGTGATATGCATGTCTAAATGATTTTTACTACACTCTATAATCGAAAATATTAGGATAATCAAATTATTAATATCTGAATCCATTTAAAATAGCCGATACTTTGTAAAAAAGATTATTTATTGTCTTATTTTTAAATAGTGATTTGATTATTCTAATATTTTCGATTATAGCGTGTAGTAAAAACCATTTAGACATGCATATCACTTTTGCTTCGCTTACTATTTAAAAATAAGACAATAAATAATCTTTTTCATAGAGTATCGGCTATTTTAAATGTGTTCAGATATTAATGGGCGATTATGAAAGTTTGACAAAGCAAGAAACGGAAAAGAAGAATACATATAAAGCAGAAAACGTAGAAATGGAACAAGAAATATTAAAATTAGAAATTTGATTAAA